CCCCCCCAACCCCCCTCCCCATTAGCCTTCAGGTGCCAGGAAGGGCCTTTCCCGGGACTGGGGCCATGGCCTCAAGGGGCTTCTTCCTCAAGGGTACAGCTTAGCTTTGTTCCTCCGTCCCTGCCTGCCATGTTCTCACACTCGCTAGGCAGATGGAGGAACATCTCCACTCTGGTTATTTTGAGATGATGTCCGGCTATATAGCCTTGCTGATCTCAAACTCAGAACCTTCTTCATCAGCTTTGAAAGTCTGGGGTGGCACAGGCCTTTAACCCCAGCACTTGGGAGGCAGAGAGGCGGATCTCTGTGAGTTGGAGGTCAACCTGGTCTACAGAGTGAGTTCCAGGGCCACACAGAGAGACCCTGTCTCAAAACAAAACAAAAACAAAAAAGAAAATAAGTAAGTAAGTCTGGGTTGATACCTATCTCCACATCCAACTTTGTTGTCATTTGATTAACCAGTTTCATTATTTTGGAACAAGATCTCACCATGTAGACCAGGCTGGCCTTCAGCTCACAGAGATCTGCCTGAGTGCTGGGATTAACGGGGTGTACCACCACCCCAGGCGCCGTACACCCCCTTACTATTTATTTATTTATGTTTATTTTTTGTGTATGAGTGTTTTCTGTGTGTCTGCCTGTGCACCTGATGCCTGTGGGGGCCTGAAGAGGGTGTCAGGTCCCCAGGAACTGGAGTTTCAAGTGGTAGCCACCATGTAGGTGCTGAGAACCAAAGCTGGGCTCCGGTCTCCACAACCTCCTTTTGTTGTTTTTTTGAGACAGGGTTTCTCTGTGAAACAGTCCTGGCTGTCCTGGATCTCACTCTGTAGACCAGGCTGGCCTCGAACTCACAGAGTTCCACCTGCCTCTTCCTTCCGAGTGCTGGGATTAAAGGTGAGTGCCACCACCACCTGACCACAACCACCTTTTAAAAAAATATATCAACATCCAAATGTCTTCGTGTGTGTGGTGTGTGGCCTGTGTGTGCCACATGCTGTGGCAGAGGACAATCGTGTCCTTTGTCCTTGTCTGGCTAATGCCCTTGAAACCAGGTCTCTCACTGAAACTGGAGCCTCTTGGGCCCCAGCCCCAGCCTCCTCCAGGCACTAGGGGCACAGCTGCTGGTGTAGACACACCTAGCTTTTTGTTGTTGTTATTTTTATTTATTTATTTTTGTTTCCCTAAGACAAGGTCTCGTTGTGTAGCCCAGGCTGGCCTCAAATTCAGAGATCCTCCAGCCTTTGCCTCTAAGGTCTGGGTTTAAGGGTGTGCTCCGTCACGCCTGGCCCCAAGGATTCGAACTCAGGTCACCATGCTGTGGAAGTAACAGCTCTTCCCCACCCAGCCATCTCCTTCTACTCTGTTTACAGTGCTGACAAGTGTGTGTGTGTGTGTGTGTGTGTGTGTGTGTGTGTGTGAGTGTGTGAGTGCGTGTGTGCGTGTGTGTGTGTGTGTAGGGGTCAAGAACTCAAACGTGGTTACAGCGGTCAAAACAATTGTTCTTCCTTTTAGTTAAAAATTACCGTCAGATTTGCTTGCATGTGTGAGGCCACGGTACTTGGACACCTTGTAGGAAGGAGTCAGTTATCTCCTTCCAGTGTGTGGGTCTCAGGGAGTGCACTCAGATCTTCCGGACTCAGCAAGCGCCGCGCCCGGGCCAGTTCACGCTGCTTTTAAATGAGACCAGCGGTCTGCTTGTCCCAGCCAATTCCTCTCTATGCCAGAGGTTCCATTTCCAACGTTTGGTTTGGGATTTTGTTTGTTTGTTTGTTTTCTTTTGGGGGGGGCAGGGAGGGTTGAGACAAGGTCTCATGTAGTCCAGGCTGGCCTCAAACTCACCATGTAGCTAAGGCTGGCCTTGAACTCTTGACCTTCCTGCCTCCTCTGCCGGTGTAGCCCTGATACTCAGGTCTCACAGCCCCAGGAGCTCAGAAGTGGGGTGACATGGGCCGAGGAACAGTCAGGAGGGGACCATTGAGAACCCGCTGAGCTGGATGGCAGCCGCAGGCTGATGCCTGGCACCCCAGGAGCCTCAGGAAATGGCAGCCATTCCCCTGCCTCCTACCCTCAGCCTCCACTTCCCAGGTGCCCCTGCCCTGCCCTGGGGACTTCTTACTTGGACCAGCGTCTGTCATCTCGGTCCTGGGCTACAGAGGCAGGGGGATCTCTGGGCGTTTGAGCCAGCCTGGTCCACACAGTGAGTCCCCATCTCAAAAACAAACAAAGGAAGATAGGCCTGGACGAACCCGTGAATGCCCCAGCCAAGTGTCTGGCCCACGGAAACGGATGTGCTTGTGAGGTTTTTCACAATTTTTTTAAACGGTGATTGATGGTGTATGTGCACATGTCACGACCCAAGTGTGGAGGCTGGAGGACAACTTGTAGCGGTTGGCTCTCTCCTTCCATCATGTGGCTCCTAGGGGTCAGTTTCATATCAGGTTTGGCTACAAGCCCCTGTACCCGCTGAGCCCTCTCGCTGGCCCATGGTTTTATTTTCCTTAATTTCTGACAATGTGGGAAGACAAACTACAGAATCTTCCACAGGGGCCAAGCTCCCCAAGGAAGGGACTTTTAACCAGACACCTAGACAGGGGAGGAGCCCGGGTATTCCGGGTAGTGCGCTTGGGAAGCAGTGATCGAGGGGGGGACAGTGGCTGTGTCAAGGACTTCGGGGGTCCCAGAGGCTGTGGGCAGCGCCGGGCTTGCCCCACATGGAGACGAACTGGTTCAGTCTGGTTGATTTGGGGGAGGTGACCTGGGCAAGGACAGAGGTCACCAGGCAGGGATCACGGCTGGAGCCAGGGAGGGGACCAGAGCCAGGCAGACCGTGAGGCCTGGGGCCCCAGGGAAGAGCTGGGGAAGGAAGGGAGGGGGGGAGGAAGCCAGACTTAGCTGCAGACCCCCCCTCCCCACCAGGAAATGCCTCAGCGCCACCCCTGACCCCACCGGAGCTGCTTTGCCGGGCGGGGGGGGGGGGGAGGAGGGGAGGGAGACGGGGGGGAGGGCATTCCAGCCGAGAGATGCTGTGGGGGACGGGGCGGAAGCCTCCTGGAATTGTTGGCACCTGGGTGGGGCTGGTGTCCCGGCTGCAGGGGGGCAGGAGGATGGACCTTGGTGTCCGCTGTGAAGCTGTGGACTCTGTTGGTCCTGAGGGTCCGTGGAGGGCGCGTGCATGGGGCGGCCTCACCCTGACTGCCTCGGACTGAGTGAATGAAGGAAGGCAAAGCAGAATCCTAGTGTGTGGGAAGCTGGGGCAGGAGGATTGTGAGTTTGAAGCCAGCGTGGACGGCACGTGGAGACCCAGGCTTCAGGGCCTAAGAACCCTGTGGGCCTCCCTGAATCCCGGGCTCGGTCTGTGGAGCAGAGCCAAAGCTCAGAAGCCTGGGTCTAACCTGGAGCCCCCGGGAGCCCCGAGAGGCCTGGGGAGCCGCGTCATGCCCCTGCCGCGGACCAGCCCCGGGCCCCTCAGCCTGTCGACTGACCGTGCCCTCTGCTCTTCCTTCCCCAGCGGCTGAGGAAGCAGCTGCTGCAGGACCCTGGGCAGCAGACTCGCCCACCCGTGGATGGGGCCAGCCAGATGCCCACGGCGCTGGACACCTCCTCTGCCCCTCGCTGCCCCTGCCCCCCCCCCCCGGCCCCCAGACACTGGGTTCAAGGCCTGTACAGCTGTGGGGTGACCAGAACGGCACCCGCCTGCCCGTAAAGCACCCACAGCTCAGCTGCCGCCCCAGGCACCTCCTTTGGTGCCTGACCCGAGAGGTGAGAAACAGAAAGTCCCAGCCTCGGCTCCCTTGGGACTTTCCAAGCTGCCCCTAAAGGCCCAGGTGATTCCAGGTCCTCTTTTAGTTCCCAGGCCTCCCCTGGATGGCTTCGAGGCCCCAAGAAACACAGAATTCATTAGGTTTTTAAACCGTGTTCCAGGGTCCCCAGGCTCCCCTCCTCCCCACAAGGAAGGGCCTGAACCACAGGGGAGGCCCGTGGATCTCCCGGACCCCAGGGGAGGCCCGTGGATCTCCCGGACCCCAGGGGAGGCCCGTGGATCTCCCGGGGCCTGTAGGGCTTGCTTCTCCACACTCCGCCTTGCTTGTATCCCTTAAAGATATCCGTGGCACACAATAAATACCACAGAGTCTTTAAGGGCTGGTTTCTATTCTTTATTATTTTCTTTATCTGTTAATGCGGCCCCACTGTGTGCCAGGCTGGCTTTGACGGCTGCTGTGTGCTGATTTCCGCTAAGAGGCGGCTCAGCCGTCTAGGGGCTGGCTGCTGCTCTTGGAGAGGACCAGAATCTGTTTGCTAGCTCCCGCATGGCCGCTCACGGCCTTCCTACGCCCAGGGCATCGGCACCATCTCTTGACCTCAAGGGCAGCAGGTATGGGACGGTGCATTCGTGTGCATAAAGTAGAGGAGTAGATCTTTAGATGGATAGACTGCTAGGCGTGGTGGTGCCCGCCTTTCAGCCCAGTCCCGTGGGTTAGTTGGGAGGGTTTGCAGCTCAGTTGTTGAGGGTGCTTGCAGCTCAGTTGTTGAGGGTGCTTGCAGCTCAGTTGTTGAGGGTGCTTGCAGCTCAGTTGTTGAGGGTGCTTGCAGCTCAGTTGTTGAGTGTTGTAGCTCAGCCGCTGGAGTCCTTGTGTGGCGTGGCCGGAGCCCTGGGCTCCATTTCTCCAGCACCATAGAAACTGGGTGTGGCAGGGCATATTTGCTGTTCCAGCACTGAGGAGGATGAGGCAGGAGGATCAGGACTTCAAGGCCAGCCTGGGCTACAGGAGACCCTGTTTCAATCATCGAAAATTAATAAAAATTAAAAGCTATACTACCGACTAGTGGTGCGGACATTGAAAGGAGCATTTCCTCAGGCTTGGTACAGATGCAAACCAAAACGTGGCCCTTATGGAAATGAGCTTGGCGTTGTGGTGGAGCAGGCCGGTCAGCACCGGTGGGGGCGGGGCCGAGGCAGGGGACTGAAGAGCAAGGACAGCCCTCTAACCCTGCGGCTCCTTCCCAAGAAAAAGCAGCGAAGCAGGAGCCATTGAGGGAAAGGGGGCGCAAGGTGCTCAGAAGCAGCCGCCCCTCGTCCCCCAGCCCTGGCCTGGGTGGGAGCCGGGGATGAATCACGGGCCGGCAGTGCCACACTCGGCCACAGCTCCTCGGGGACAAAGCCGCGATATTTCCTGGATCCGGAAACGCGGGCAAGAGCCTGTCACTGCAGGAAACACTCGGCTGGGGCTGAGCCAAAAGGGCCACCGGGGGTCAGCCTGGGAGGCTGCCGGGACAGCCGGTCTGGAGGCCCCAAGGAACTGGGGATGTCCCTGGCCCCGAGCCTGAGCCCTGGGATGAAGCTGACCTGGTGACCACAGAGAGCCTGATAGCCACAGTCCTGGGTTCGAATCTCACTCCATCTCAGCCTCCGTTTCCTTTTCCTAGACACCGTGTCCCAAATCTGTAACCTCAGCTGCTTGGGAGACTGAGGCAGGAGGATTGCTTAGGCCCGAGAGTTCCTGGCCAGCCGGGGCCACACAGCGGAGACCCAGCTCTAACAACTGCAGTATCGGTTGCAACAGTGAGTGTAAAGCTCAGACACACGGGCCTGCTGACGTGAGACCCATTAAAGAAAAGAAGGGCTGGGGATTAGCTCAGTGGCAGAGCGCTCGGCTAGCAAGCACAAGGCCCTGGGTTCTGTCCTCAGCTAAAAAAAAAAAAAAAAAGAAAAGAAAAGAAAAGAAAAAGCCTGTCCAGCCACTGCCTCAGTAGGATCCTGTACTGGTCCACAGCCATCTTTCCATCATGGCTCCCCGTTACCCTACAGTTTTGCCTCTCATCCCTTTGTCAGCTCCCAGACCTGGTTCAGTCCTAGCTGCTCCCTGAATTTCTGACTTAAAGAGGAGCAAGGCTCATTTGCTTGGTTTGTGTTTATTTTGTTTTGAGACCAGAGTCTCATTATGTAGCCCAGGCTGGCCTCCAACTCAGAGATCCTCCGCCTCTGCCTCCCAGGTTCTGGGACTGAAGACGTGCGCCACCACACCCGGCTGGCCCCGCTTTCTAGGACTGTCGTGACAGGTGGAGCTGACCTTTTTTAGCAATCCTCCTGCCTCAGCCTCCAGGACGTGGGGACTACAGGCGCACTAACACGCCTAGCAATGCTTGTCCTTGCCTGAGAAACTTTCCTTTGTTCAAGACCAGGATTTGCAAAACACAAACCCAGCCCGTGGCAGGTCAATGGCTCTGTGGGTGAGCGAACTTGTTGCCCAAACAGGGGGAGCTGAGACTCCTTTCCAGCACCCCCATAAAGGCCGGGGCGACCATACACCTGTAACCCCAGCGTTGTGGGCGGACGGCAGGATGCCGAGTGCTGGCCACCGGTCCTGAGACCGAGCCTGTGAGGTCTCCACCTTGCCCTCCTCTGGCTTGTGTGTCCCCTTGGATTCGCATGCCCACCCACATGTGTGGACAGTGCCACACACTCACAAACGACATGGGACAGCGGCTTGGCTCGGCTTTGTCTGCCCAGAGCCCTCCTCCAGGCAGCCTTCCAGGATTCCCTAGGTGACAGCCTTCGTCCCTTGGGCCCAGCCTCGCCCTGGCTCCCAGGCCCCAGGTAGTGCTCCCTGGCGGAAGGGGTCCAGGGCCCGGCCGCGCCGCCTCCCTCCGCTGGGTGAGGCCCTGACTCTTTGGGGATTTCCTGCGTCCTCTATAAATAACCCCCCGCCGCTTCCCACAAACTCCTCACCCTTCTTGGAAAAAAGGGACAGCGGCCAAGGCCTCCGTGCAGCTGTGTGCCAGGCCGAGGCGGGAGGCCCGCGGCGGGCGAGCTGCCCGGAGGTGCGGCCCCGCCCGGCGCCGGGCGCCACAGCTCCTGGGAGCCGCGGGACCCTTCCCCTGTTTGAGGCAGGGTCTGGCTCGGTGACCCAGCCTGGCTCGGGACGAGCGAGCGCTGCAGAGACAGCCGTCCTCATCGATGAGGACGCGGCCTGGGGACCGCGGGGTTACGCGGGGGACGCTCGCCCCCTGCTGGCCGGCCGCCGCTCCACCAGGCGGCCCAGCCTCACGGGCGCCACCTCGCGGCCTCGGCAGGCGCAGCGCGGACGTCTGCAGGGTCCGTCCGTCCCCAGAGCCTCCTCCTGGCAGCCAGGCCTGAGTGCTGTTCCCGCACCCTGCCGGGAATGATGCTCGAGGCCATCGCCCTGAGGCTGGGCTTTCCGATCTGTATATTGGGAACATTTGTGCGCGGCCTGGTGGTGCACTGGGGAGGATCCTTGTGACTCTGAGTAAGGCCAGTGTCGTCTACAAAGACCTCATCTCAAAAACTGAAAATAAATACAAATAAAATAAAAATATTTGATAAGAGGCTGGCGAGGCGGCTCTGCAGATAACATCTGTAGCAACAAGAGGACTCGAGTCTGGTTCCCAGCGCCCATGGCTCCCAAGCTCACACCCCTCCCTCCCCACACATATAATTAAAACCTGCTGCCAAGCCGGATGGCCTGGGAGCCACGGTGCCATTGCTGAGGACTCCGGTAAGTTGTCCTCTGATCCCATGTGCGCTGTCCCCCATAAATAAACTAAAACAGAATGTGCAGTAGGGCCAGGCCTGGGTCCAATTAGCCGTTTTTTGCATCGGCCTGTGGTGTCGGCGAAGATTGTTCAGGGCGGGGAGAATGGGAAGTCTGTGTGCTATCGGTGAACACGGCCGATCCCCTCCCTCCCGGTCAGGGGGAGACGGCCTGGGGGAGCGTGCGACAGCGGAGGCCTGGGTGACTTGTGGGTGAGGCGGAGCCCCAGCTGCGGACCGGACTCACACACCAGCCCCTCACTCTGTCCAGGAGGGGCTTGTGGGTAGGAAGACTGACAGGCGGCGAAAGGCCTGGGGGAGGAGGGAGGCACAGTCAGGTCAGAAAATCCCAGACACGATGATTTAGGAGGAGGACTCGGCGGCAGTGGGGGTAGGGACGAGAGACAGTAGACACTCAGATGGAAGGGTCACAGCGAACGTATTACAGACGATATATGCTGCTACAGAAGTAAAAATAAATAAATAAATAAATAAATAAATAAATATATTTGATTGACATATGATGCCACAGAGAGAACTCATAGGCAAACTTCTGGAAGGTAAGGGTGACTGGTTCTCATGAACAAACATTTCTGGATCACCTGAGCTCTTCATACTCCTTTGGTAATTAAAAATAAAAATTATGAAGCCAGGGGCGTGGCTCAGGGTGGAGCCCCGCCTAGAATCCCCAGTGAGGGGCTGGGGGCGTGGTCAGGGTGGAGCCCCGCCTAGAATCCCCAGTGAGGGGGCTGGGGGCGTGGTCAGGGTGAAG